ACGATTGATTTATTCTTCGGAAAGTGTCGAAAATTCTAAAATTTTCGCACCATTTCTTTCGTCCGTAGTAGTGACTTCATTACTGATAGTTGAGCTCTCGGCTGTTTCTTCCCTGAGTTCTGTAGTGGTCAAAATCGTAGTTCCCTCATTTGGGCTCGTAGTTTCCTGTTCATTTTCAGATACGGCATTCCCTTCAGTAGATGTAAGACCTGTTGTAGATGAAGGCTGAGGATCCGTGAAGACGTCTGACGCAATCGTAAAGAGGGCGTCCTCAGTGCTATCGTCAAGAACTTTATCAGTGGTTTTTGAAGTTACTTCTTCAACTCCTTCCGATGCAGCTGCAGTGGTCCGAACATCAACTTCTTCTTCGGTTGTTAGTCCAGAAGTGGAAGTTTCTGGCAAAGGAGTTTCAAGAGAGGTTACCTCAACTGTGGAGGTAGGCTTTGAAACCTCCATAGTAGACTTCTCTTCTGATTTTTCATTCTCCTCGCTTTCTACAGCAGTAATTTTTTCGCTTTCAGTGGTGGTACCTTCCTCCTCTCTACCAGTAGTGCTCTCAATGATCTTTTCTGTCACCTTTGTTGCTTCACCTTCATCATTCGTTTTCGTAACATTTTCATTCTCATTGCTAGAAGAAGCAGTGACTTCAGAGATATTACTCTCTACTGTGGTGCCATCCGCAGGATTCTTCGTGGTAGTTATCAAAGGTGTTGTGATCGACAATGCTTCCCGGGTAGTGGTTATTTTGACAGGAACGGTTTCTTGGGTCGTTGAGGTTGTGATTTTTGTAGTACGACGAGTAGTTGGAGACAGTGATAGCACATCCACGCGAATGCTAGCAGTATTTATTTTTCCAGCATCATGTGCCTAAATCAAGACCTCTAGTAGAACACCAAACTTTTGGAAAATGTGTGAAGGTCCAGCATCAGTTAGAAATTATGATTTTTCTTCAAAACGACTTTTAACAGAAAACTCCATACTGCTACAATTCATATCTTTTTCGCATTGTTCTAAGCTCTATAAGTATGCGAAAAAAATCATCGAAAAGTTTTTAATGTCAAAATCATGTATAACTTGATTCGTTCTAGGTACTAACTTACCTCAATGGAGAACTTGTACGACCCATTTTTGGTCAAGCTATGTTGCACGTAAACATCAGCTCGTTGATTGATAGTGACCATATACTCAACGTAATTTTCGAG